GCGGAGGCGGCGGCTGGCGGCCGGCGGCCCCGCTGGCCCTGGCTCCTGTTGAGGGGGGAGCGCGGGCGGAGATGTGTACCGGGGGTTAGGGACCATCTTCCGCTGCCCGCCTTTCCTCCTTCTCCGCCGGTGCGTTCTCGTGCAGCGTGGAGCTTGGCAGTGAATAAGGTTGGGTATGGTGCCTTGTGAGGGAAGCAGCGCGTTTGTTCTACTAGCAATGTTGACTGGGTGCAACGTTATAAAATCCTGTATTTTGCCAAGTATTGCCAGAGTTGCTCACTGGCACGTATTCAGTGAGTACTGTATGTGCTTTCAAACAGAGTCTGTGTAGGTAAAATCAGAAGTATGATCTATCCCAGCAGGCCAGGAGGTGTTTGAGGAAGTCTGTAAGCAGAAGGGAGGCATGTGGTGGTGCTTCCTGAAATACATGGCAGTCTTGCAGGTCAGGCACTAAGACAAAGTTGTCTCAGTGGTCAGTAATCTTAGGTGGATTTCTTTTTTTCACCCTATGATGTTTTCAATTTGTTTCCTTGACTACCTACCGATTTTTAGTGTTCTGAAAATTTACAGAGTAGAGATTGATTGCCCAGTTTTGCCATATGCGTTTTCTTCAGTCTACAGCTTGCCACTTCTGTAGGATATTCCTTCTCTATTGAAAGTGCTAGCAGATGCTTGTTGCCTGTATATATTCTCTAAGCCCTCTAAGATTTTATACAGTTTTGTCATATCCACCAGCTTCCAAAGAGCCCCGATTTATGTAGCTGTTGCTCCGTGTTCTAACCTGAAAAGTGATAAACTCAAATACTAGGGCTGGGCACAAAGTAAGCAAAAGCCTTAAAGAAAATGCTTGTTTTATATTACAAGAGTTCATAATATTTACTGGAGCAGTGCAGAAGCTGGCAAGCAGTCCTGAGGATGTAAATCATGTTTGGGATAGTCCTTTGCATTCCATGGAGTTGGACCAAAGAGTGGGCTTTAAGCAATCTGCAGGTTCTGTATGCTAAAAAGCTATGTTTTAAGAGGAAAGTCTTTACATCAGTTAGTGCTGGAACAGTGGGCATATCTTCTTGGGTGTGAACATTTGTTTAGGAGAACAGAATTATATCGTTTCTTTTTTCTTGTAACCCACATAGATCTACTCACACAGGTATGGAACATGACTAGACATCCGTGTGCCTTGCTACACTGAAGACATTGAGCTGCATGTGTATAGCTGTGCATTCTCATGTTTTGTGTATGCGTATTGAATCCAGGTTATGTCAATAAATCAGTTGCATATGGGAGAAATGATATCTTTCTATCTCCTTTCTTTTAGAGAGATTTTTGTCGCTATAAAAATGATTGACTCAGTCAAAGTAAGAAGACAGTGCATGCAGGATTTCTACTCTCACTATGAACATCTTTGTGCTCTTCAAAGCTCTGTCCCGCTGAAAGCTGTGAAAGACAATCTCAGTGAAGGTGCTCTTGATCTAACTGTAGATCGCATCAAAGCTGCTGACTGGGCACCGCTTCTACATGCTGTCAGGCATGATAAAACCCTTACTTCTATTGCAATAAGAAGTTTTCATCAACAGGGTCTTGGAGAATCAGGTTTGTAGTGATGGTTGTAGATGATAATTATGTTTATGGGTATTTGCATAACTAATTTGTGAGTCATTAAATGCATGGAAGGGGAAAATTGTATTTAAGAACAGTGGCAAAATAAGAGTTACGCTTATGATATCTTTCAAGTCAGTAGTGATTGGATGTTATTACTCTTCATTTCTGTTTATAGGTGTTGAAAGATATAAGACTTATTTCAGAAAGCGAATTCCACCAATTCGATCAAAAGACTTGACTGGTCAACTGTGCAAGGCTGTCAAAGGCTGTCTGAGTATATCAGATGTACTAAAAAACCTGGAACTGCAGGGATTGCTTCTGAGAGAGAGAGATCTAATACTTTTAACAAAGGTGAGAATGAGCTGATCCACAATTGAAGCTCTATGATAAGAAGCGAGACAATGTATATATTTTGTATATATTTTCCATAGGTGTGGAGTGCCTATTTTAAAACACATTTTTTTTTAGTTTTCTAAAGACATCTAGCATAATCTAGTATTTAATCAAAATCAATTAACTCAATCTTGCGCTGATTTATCAAGACTTATGGAAGGGAGGGCTCGTTCAACCTCTCCACTCTGTGTTTGTGGTGTATAACTTACGCCATGGACTGATGCTGCTGTCAAGTGTAATGCCAGAAGACAAGCTGCAAGTCACTCAGACTATAATACACTTCACAGAGCTGGAAACTACATTTTTGCTCATGAGCAGCTTCTAGGAAGTGAGGTGCCTGCTTGTATCTTGCATGATCAGGCCTCTTGCAAAACAAAGCAACTGCTTCACAACTTTAGGCCCTGCTGCATCTTTCAGGGAGCACTAAGTGCTTTGTCTGAGCAGTCTGTGTGTCTTGGACTCTTCTATATTCGTATGTTGTTGTTTTTCAAGCCATTTTGAAAAAAAAAATATATTATTTTGTAGGGATTGGCCAAAACCTCATCTCTGGAGAGTGTCTCCCTAGCCCACTGTCCAGTTGGAGATGGAGGATTAGAAAGTAAGTTTGAAGATAAAAAAACAAAAATTGGCCTTGTGAGGTAACTGGTAAAGGCATAAATATACAACCCCCCCTCTGACCCCCTCCACCCTTTTTCTTTTTTCTTTTTTTTAAGTGCTCTAAGTAGGTAAAACCAAGTTTTTCTGTATTTTCATTTCCATTTTAAATTTGGTCATGCCAAATAAAAATAACCATCTTTATTTTACATAGCTATACAATATTTAAAGGCTTGAATTTGCTTACTTGATCTTAGAAAGCAGGCATACCTCTTAATGATGTTGATTATAGTTTTAAGTAAGACAAAGTTATGTTATTTAAGTTTGAAATAAACTTTTTTTTTGTGATTTGTTTGTGTTTATATGAGTAAAATATCATGTTCTAGCTAATTCAGACAGTCTTTGCTACCCACTCTAAAATATTTAATCTTTTGAAATTACAGTACTTAGGTGTATTTGAAGTAAACTTTATTTTTTTTAACACTAGTTCTTTGACAAAAAAATTATCTTTTAATTCACCTTTGTAATATAACATTAGGAAAATGTGCTTGTTTTGGTGATCTGTCTGTATGTATACAATATAAACAATTATGTTCCCCTTAGCAATCTGTCAGAGTGTGAAGAATTCCGCTAGTATCCGATCCATAAACTTCACAGGATGTAGCCTTACCTGGCGAGGGGCAGAACATATGGCAAATGTTTTAAAGGTAACAACCGTAAATATTAACAGGAACTTAAATAACTGAAAACATGATTGATGTACTCTGCTTGTATACAAATTTTCTGGTAATTTGATGATAAAAGCAAAGCTATGCCATATACTGTTTTTGATGTGAAATCCCTTAAGGAAAAGGCTAGTCTCTAACATAGCTACAATAATGGTCTCTCTGTGTGTCCTCTACCTTCTCCAAATTTCTAGAATGCCTGAATATTCCTGAAAATTATATTTCTGTTATGAGAATACTCTTACCACATGATTGTTAAATGCCGTGCCAATTCTAATACAATAACTTCCATAAACCTCCAAGTGGACATTAAGACTATTAAGACAAAACTGATCAATACTGCAACACTTATGTAGTCATGTATTGTAAGTGCAATAATTAAATTACTGATAAGAAATATATAGACTGTATAGCCAGTGTGCAATTTTGATTTGTTTTTTTTCTGGAGGGGTTTAATATGGCAAAACTCAAAGTAAGGAGTACTGTGATCTGGAAATATGTTCTTTTACATGCCTCATAAAATATCTGCCGGTAGCTTAAACGTGGTGGGATTACTCCGTCTGCCATGGATAACTTTTGTTTGTTTGTTTTCAAGGCAGTGAATGCAAAGACACTTCACTGCTTTATTGTTACATTTTTCTGTGATTTGCGGAACTTATAAGTATTACCTGTAGTATTGGTTATTTTAATTTTCTTTCCTTTGATTTTGGATTCTAATTAGGACCATAAATGTCTGACATCTCTCTTTTAAGAGAGTGTCTTTCATCACTGTCACACACAAACTTTTCAAAGTATCATAACTTAAGCATTAAATAAAAATAATAGATTTTGGAATTTAGGTTAGTAGTTAGCTGACTAGAAAGCTTGTGACTATTACAATATGAATGTGTTACTCTAACCAATATTAAAATTGATCTGCATGAAAGCACACTCGTATTGGGCATTTTCAACAAATCTTCAGAAGGAGCCGCATATCTGGTGAAAACAAGATAGTAAGATAAGATATATCATTTTTTGAACCTTTTTAATAATTTGCATTGGCAATTCAAAGATTGGAGCAAGCATGAGTTAACCACAGTCTTCAAGAATGACCATGGTATTTCCTGAACTCCGAACTGGTATAACTGAGTCTTTGATGTATCAACACTTATCTATTAAACTTGAATTATAAAGAAAAGTACAGATGACCTTCTTGTCATCCATAATTATGTTTTTTTCTTTTGCACTTCATATCAACTTCTTTTCAAAGCACCAGGCAATGAAAAGACATAATGAAGCTTGGGCTGAGAGCCTACGTTATAGGAGACCAGACCTGGATTGTATGACAGGATTGAGGCGCATTACTTTCAACTGCAACATGCTTGTTGGAGATAGAGGAGCCAGTGCCTTTGCAGAATGCCTAGGAGAAGACCTGTGGCTGAAAGGTATTGTGAAATACTGATTCAGAGATATAATAGAGGAAGAAAAGTGCCTTTGGCACTTAAATGTAGACAAAGGAGGAATTTCGCTTCTAACTATTTTCCTGTTTTATCCAAGTATTCAAAGTGTCCAACAATTCAGTAATGTTCTGGATGAATGTTTTTAGTATACTATGTATGTACTGAGTGACTTTAATTTTCGTGATAGCAGTCATAGCATTCTGTGTGTAGAATTAAACACTTAACTTTTGGAGTTATTTGTGGTTTGCCAATGTTGGCTGTGTAGGTAAGATATGCATGCACAGCATGAGAAAAGAGGCCAGAAGCCACAAAAGTACTGTGTTTATTCAATTGCCGTAAAATTTGTTCAGGCTTTTCAGGTTAAGCTATTTATGTATGTTAAGCTACTCTAGGAAGCGGTATTAATTGCTATCTATCAATTTTACATTTAGTAGTAATCCTTAGGAACAGTGATTTCACTGTGATTTGATAATCCTTTTTTTGCAGTTTTTCAATAATTACATTTCTTAATGTTGATGTATGATATGATCTAAATCTCTAATTTTCACCTGTGAACACAGAATTGTAGCTTACGCTCATGGTTGTTACTGTAGCATTACCTCATCCATTCTGTGAAATGGTGATACTCAGTACAGGTAGATTAATTCTAGTAGATATCGACTACATCTTATGCCACTTACTTTTTTTTTTGTTTTAACTTCCTGAACACTTTAGCACTTGATTTGCAGCAGTGTGGAATATCCAACGAAGGAGCAAAGTCATTATTTGATGCTCTTCAAGCTAACAGAACATTAGTGGTACTTGACATTAGAAAAAATCCGTTAATTGGTATGTATATATTTACTCTTGTCCTCTTTTCTATGAAAATTTTAAGAAAGTACTGTGAGGGTGGGAAAATACACTACTTTTAAGAGGAAACCTGCAACAGTGTTTTGCTAAGCATTAAAACAAGTTTATGGGAGGAGAGCAGGTAGTGTGTACTGCTTATTCAGTGATCTGTTTTCATAAATTACAAGTCTTGTACAGGAAATTCTTAATACACAATTTTAATTCTAGATCATGTTTTGGTGAAAAGCATTATTGAAAGGGTTCTTGCGAATGGAAATGGTGCCAATTCAGAGGTAGGTGTTGAACATTTCATAGACCTTTTTTCTTTTTTTTTTTTTGGCGTTTGGTTTGTTGTGTAGTTGACATTGCATATGTTATAAAGTCAGCTTTGTTCAAAATAAATATAATATTCTAGTTATAAATATAAGCATTAAAAAAGAAAGAAAAAGGAAAGAGTTCAGTACTAGCAGCAATGACCATTTTGCTGTCTTGGACATTTTGTATGCTATCATCTATAACTTAAAGGCACATAATAGACAGAATTTCACTTAATGAGAAGAAAAAATAGCAAAGTTTATATAGTTGGGCATTATCCTAGAACATAAGTTAATATTGCTGAGTTTTCTGGGGGGTGTGTGTGTGTCTGTCTTATTAATCCATGAACATCAATTTAATAGAAAAAAAGGGAAAATCACAGTTAATTAAGTTTGAAAATACATGATTGTATTGTAAATTATTGACCAAAAACTGTAGTTTCTTAGATGATTAATATTGTAAACAACACTTTTGAGTAAATACAATGCCCATTTCTGTTTCTAGCTAGTGGTTTGTAGGGAGTTTATAGTAATTTTCATAAACTCAATTATCTGTAACTCTTATGGTTACAGGGATTGTTTAAATCATATGGTTTAAATACTGAGTCTCTTGTTTCTAACTCTAAATTCTGTTACCAAAAGAGTTAGCAAGCGAGTACACTCATTTACTCTTGCTTTTTGACAGCTGCAACAATCTGGTTCCTGACCTTAATGCTGTTTTGCCTTTGAAAAGGCTTGAAAGTCAGAGCTGTGATTCTGTAGGGAGTAAGTTCTCAACTGAGAAATGTGTGTGTGGAATTCTTTTTGGATTAATACAGTTCCCTTCTTCAACCTCTTGAAGACCTTTTGGAGAAACTGAAATTGATTGTGAAAGAGTTCTTTTTTTCCTTGGCACATGGAGCACTTGCCAATTTTGCAGGGATTCCATGAAAATAGCATCTGCCTGGTGAAAATATAGCTCAAGTTGGATGGAAAGTTGAGCAATGAAAAAGAAGCAACTCCTTGGAGTATTTTCATATACTAAGAGTTCATTCAACTTAAGACTCTTGTTATATATTCCTCAAGGTAGTAGAGTATTACTGGAAATAGTAGTAGTCTTGCTTATCTGCTTAACAGTGTAAATCAAAAATGACTGACTACCATCTTATTAAGCTACCCTGCCTTTCTTTCAGAACAGAGAACATAGCAACCTTGATCCATGAATTTCCTAATCCATGTGGGTAGGCTGCTGTAAATAACACACTGCTTATCATGGGAACAGTGCAGGCACTCAGGATGGAATAATCCACTTGTTTAACAAGATGAATACAAGCAATCAGTATTGGAAGCTAAGATTCTTTTGAAATTGATACAATTATTTTATCCAAATTTTAGTATTTGTAGTTAGTTTTGAGTTTAGTTACAGAAGTCTGTATATTCTGAAGATCAAAACAATTAAATTTCTTTGGGGTGGTGTCTGAAGGTGTTCCATATTGACATAGAGCACTTTATTGCTTTCTTTCATGAGTAAAATGTCAGATGTATCAAAGATGCACAATTATTAAAAAAAAGCGTTGCTGGCCTTAGAAAAATATATGAAAAAATATTTTAAAAGTAATATATTTGTACAAGTCCTAATGACCTGTTCAGCTGTTGTACATTATAGTACCTGAACTATAGTACTCTGAATGTAACTAAAACTTGCATTCTTGGTATTTTATAATGTTTTTTAGTGTTACACCAAAAAGTTCTGTTAACTCTCAGAATTTCCTTGAACTTTTATGGAGGATCCATTATGAACGACGTTTACAAATTTAAATAAGTGTTTTCTGTTTCTTCTAGTTTAAGCTTGTTAGAATAGCAAACAGTCAATTAACATCTGCACTGCTTCCTTTTGTCATCTGTGCGCTGCCTTTAAACCTGTGAGGTATTAAAAGGATGTGCTGGTCCATTTTTCTTAATGGAAAAAATGTGGGTATTTATTTCTGTCCTATTTAAGCTAGTAGGTTTATGCATTACTTCTACCCATGGTAGTTGCTAGAGATCTACATTTCCTATCAGTAGAAACTGAAGAACCTATCTAAAATGAAGAATCATACCAAGTATAGTCTATGCATATAGATTTTATTTGCTTGACATAGGAGGTAAAATGTAATTTTTGTTTGCTTGAAAATGAAGCTTACTTGTGTGGCAGTAATCCAACTCATACCACATCTCACTGAGCCAACTGAAGAGCAGCATAGGTCATCATACCTAGTACTTCTTTTAATTCCAGCTGCCTTTAGTTTCAGCTTTTTTAACCTGTCAAAGCTAACTATTAATTCTCAAAAGTAGAATTCATTTATAGGATGTAGAATTTATGTATATCTGAGTGGTGACAAATCCACATTCTGTACCATCTGAAAGACACTAAGCACCTGTTATTCTATGTTTTATTTAGGTAGGAAATGAGTTAAGGTATGTTAGGTAGGCTTTTGAATGGCCCCATAGTAAGTCATTGAATATACAGAAGGTTGTGGCTTGGTTATTTGTAGTGACCATTACTTGCTCACTTGATACTGCTCTTCTGATGCAGATTCTAAGAAATGACTCTTAGGCAGAATGGCTTATTTGCTTATAGCTACTTGCATATGGGTTGAACGTTCAAGTCTGCAAGTACGAGGTTCGCTACTATTTGATGCTGTTAATCATAGGAAACTTTCCAATAAATTTAAAATACTGCTATGGCAATTTAAAGGACTTCTATATGACGCTAACAGTATTGTGTAGGTCTAGAACAGTGGACTATAATTGTACACCTGATTAGGTGTGCTGGATGATAAGTTTGCACAGATTGTTGGAGAGACTGCATAGCCTGAAGGAAAAATCTACTGAAGGTGTCTACAGTACAGGATGTCCCTGTTGACCTGACTCACCTAAGACGGTGTTGAGAAATTAAAATATACTTATTATCCTTATACTTACATGCTGTATAACAGCAACAGATAACTAGACAAGATACCTGTTGCTGGGTTAACCCAGTATATCTGCTCTTTTATGTGGGTGGTAGAAAAAAAAAAAAAGATACTCTGGCCCTAAAGTTTACAGTTTAGTTTTATTCTTTACCTTTAAAGAATGTTTTTGTAGTTAAAAAATGACAAATACTTATTTTGAGAGCTGTATCGAGTTACAGAACCAGCAAAACCCATAAAAAAATTGGAGTCCGTATTTATCATAGGCAGGAAAAGTGTTTGTATAAGCTTGGACTAAAGTTGGTTGTTTAGAGCACAGTAACTGTGTACAGCTTAATCTTCCTCATGCGTTTTGTAAAGCCTGGTGGGAGTAACTTCATCATACTGTTCCTAATTCTCTGATGTGGGATTTAAAGCTGTCTGAAATGCTGGTGCATTAATCTCAACTGCATTTCAGTCTCTAACTCTGTTTATTGGCTTGTTTTAATGGACTTTCAACTAACCTTTTTTTGATACACGCTAAAATCTAAGTGAGAGTGTGACTTAAGAATGTCTACATGGAAGAATAATAGCATTTTTATTGAGAGAAAGGAAACCTTTAAGAAAAGAACTGTTACTGTAAGAAAATGAATTCTGAAGCACAGCAATTGCATTTGATTATCACTATCTTAATTTTACCTTGGATGCTTTTACTGTTTAAGAATGAATTTTCATTAGAGGCAATGAAAATTACACTGCTGTCTTTACTTTTAAAATTTATTTGTGATATAAAATCACATCAGGGCAGCTTTTATTGCTCTACAGAACTTTGGCCTGAGCTAGTCATTCCTAGCAATCCAGCTTTCTGTAGAGAACAAAAAGCAAGAGCCAGAGTTTCCTTTTTATAGGGTTCGTGCCATTTTTTGTTACTATAAAAGGAGAGACGTGTTTTGTGCCAAAGGAGGGAAGAAATTAGATGGGGTAGTTTAGTGGTGTTCTGGGAACACTTGCTGATAATGTAGCACTCAAACTTGTATTGAATTTTGCCTGGAATTGTGGCTTTGTGGGACTTCTGTTTTTTCTTAATTTTACAGATTGTCTGTTATTAGTATATTTGTATTATATTGTATATATTAGTATTAGTATATTTGACAAAGAAAGCTGATCTTAAATTAGTTACTGGTATTTCAGTAGATGCTCAAATAATGTCTTTCTTTTCTAAAAATATTACTCAAAGTCGCAGTACAGATGGCTGACCTCTCCATCTTCAAAGGATGCTTTGAAAACTAGACCAAAGAAAAGAACTATTGTCTTAGGAAGTGGTCGAAAAGGAAAAGCTACTATTCGTATTGGTAGTATGATCTTTATTTTCTCCAAGTATAGTAATTTTATTTATAAAACAATGCTTCAACATCAAACTTCCATTACAAAAATATACTATGTTTTTAAATGTTAGGTTTTGCAGAATACTTTTCCACTTCCAAGAAAATTGTTGATTCTTAATTCACAAATACTTCTTCTAGCATCAATGGTTTCAATAGCAAATGTGATCTTGTTTTCTGTTATTAAATATGTGGCTGAGGAAACTAGGATTTGCTGTAAAAAGTATGTTGAAGCATTGAGTATCCTTTTTCCAAGAACATCTTCCTCATAGCTGTTTACTTCTTCACTTTTATTTTTTATATTGCAACCTTTCTGTTGCAGACTGTCTTCTGTCAGAGCAAACAAGTATGGTTTTCTTACTGGTGTACAAAATGTTCTAAGATTTCTTCATTTAAGTGATCATAAATAGTATATTTAAAATAACAGAAGTATAATGATTATTTTAACTGGTGAATATAGGTAACTGTAATGCACTAAATTTTCAAAAAATTATTAAAGTCTCCCAATAATTCATCGGTTGTCTTTCATCTTTGCTTTAGTTATCTGGAAGCAGAGAGGTAAGCATAAATCAAATTGAAATCTGTTTGCACAATCAATTTGGGGTAATGGAAGAAAAGAAAATGTCTGATTTGTAGGTTTAAATAGAGAGAGTGGAGTTTGGAAATAAAATCCCTATTTTATGTTAAGAGCAATCTGAAATATGAAATCCCATTATCATAGTTGTGCCTTCATACTCATTACTTGGTTTTATACTCTGAAAAACAGTAAACTGAGTTCTCATTCATTTAACTACATAGAATATCAGGTGAACAGTTTTCTGGGCTTTTTAGTTTTGAACTGAGTATAGTGAGCATCTGCTTTAAGTGTTCATCCTGAATCTACTTTGGCTATTACTTTTAGTAGTTTAAAAACAGCTACAAAAGACTGGACTGGTGAGTGTAATTTTTATTTATTTTTATTCTTAAGTGAGGATTTTTCTGGTGTTCTGTAGAATGAATCAATGTAAATACCAGCTTTGGCTTTCAAACATCTTGTGAAATACAGAACTGTTACTACGCTAAGGCCACTAGAGGGCAATTTGAAGCACATAAGCAGTCTTATTTCCTACATAGGATGCCTAGGCTCCCACTCTACACACCTGATTTAGGTATCTCAAATTAGTAGTTTGAATAAACTTCTTTAGCCTCAAAACTTTGCTTGTTTAAAAAAAAATCCCCAAAACAACATCAACAAAAACAAAACAAAAACAACACTTATTTAGACCAACCGGGTGTAAGTCAAACACATAAGCTTGTAATTGTGAGTGGGTAAACTGGCCACCCTCTGTCCTTCACGAAGCAAAATAAAAACTAGCTCTTGAGCAAAACCAGTTTGAAACAGATTTCCTACAGTTGCCTTCGTTACATATGAGATCTTACAGTCATAGTTAACAGTTCGTAAGTATGTGCAAGTAACTGCTTCTCTTCTTTAATGCAGGATTAACATCTAAAAAGTCTGTGAGCCCTGGGAAAAGAAATTCATCTGTGAAAGATAGTTATTTGCCAAAACCACAACCACCAGGCACAAAAGGCTTCATTCCTTGGCGCACTGCAGAACGTGCAAAGAGATGCAGGTGAACATTTCATAGTGCAAGAGAAAATACTAAAGCATGATAATAGTGTGACAGAACAGAGTGTTATTTTTAAAAATATATAGTTAAATCATAAATAGATCATAAATATTTCTGTTTATATATTTATCTTTGGATGCTTTTAAGATAAAATATTACCTGTTTGTTCTCTTGTTAACAATGGTGCATCACAATTGAAGCTTTTTAAATTTGTAGTCGCAGAAACACAGAATGATTGATTTTGGAAGGGACCTTTGGAGATCATCTAGTCTAAACTCCTTGCACAAGCAGGGTCACCTGGAGCACGTGGCACAGGATTGTGTCTGGATGAGTTTGGAAGATCTCCAGAGATGGAGACTCTACAACCTCTCTGGGCAGCATGCTGCAGTGCTGTCACCCTCACAAGTTGAAGTTTTTCCTCAATTTCAAATGGATTGTCCTGTGTTTCAGTTTGTCTGTTGCCTGTTTTCCTATCAGTGGCCACCACCGAAAAGGGTCTGAACCTATCCTCTTGACATCCTGCCTTATGATATTTGTATATTCTGATAAGACTTCTTGTCCGTTCTTCTCTTCTGCAGGCTGTACAGGCCGAGCTCTCCCAGCCTTTCTTCTTAAAGAGAGTTGTACCTGTTCCCTAATTATCTTCATAGCACCATATTGGACTCTGCAGTAATTCCATGTGTCTCTTGTACTGGGAAGCCCAGAACTGGACATGGTCCTCCAGATTTGGCTTCCCCAGGGCTGAGTGGAGGGAGAGAATCCATCTCACTCATTGTTCTGGTCCCTGAGGTTATTTCTCCCTAGAGGCACTTACCTCTATTGAACTACATGAAGTTCGTCTCTGCCCATCTCTCCAGGAGCCTGTACAGGTCCCTCTGATGGCAGCAGAGTCCTCTGGTGCATCAGCGGCTCCTACCTGTTTTTTATCACCCGTCAACTTTCTGAGGGTGCACTTCGTCCACTGATGAACAGAATTTCATAATAGCAGTTTATTGTAATACAATTTATCTAGCATTCATCTTGAAGTGTCTGGGTGGGAACCCCACTTCCAGCACACATATCTGTGATCCTCTAAGTCCTGTGAAGTAAAACATTATGGCTTCTGAGTGTTAGAAGATTAACTTTTATAATCATGCTTTCCTTTGAGTAAGTTTGTAAAATCACTTTTTTTTCTAAACCATAGCCTCTATAAGAGGCCATATAAAATAAGTATTTAAACAAAACTAACCACTGCTCTATATATTTTTTAAGCTTCTTCAAAAATCCTGAACGCCATATTCTGCTATTGACTTTAGCTGATAATGATTAACCAAATAAAATGTTTATTGAAGAGCTTAACATTAGCATCCAGGTGTTGTCTTAATTCTTGATTCTGTTAGTATTAGCAGAACAGAGTGAAGATGAAATGGATGTTTAAGGCATATAGTGAAGTGTGTGTTGTTTTCTTAGCTCTAATTGTTTTGCTTAGTCAAGAATATTCTATTTGAAAATTTTGTTTTTAGCAGTGATGATGTATTGTAGATTTTTTCTTTTTAAGGGGTGCTCCGGTGGATAGTACGCAAGAGTTACCAGTGAAGATTCAGGTACTGTCTCTCTCATACTGTTGAAAAAAATCATTTATTTAGTAGGTGGATGCCTAGAAAGGATGTAAATGTAGTGAACAGAAATTTTCCATCTAAAAGTTTAGAATTACATGATTGAGAAGTTAGTAATTGGAAGATATATTCAGAGTATGTTTCTCTCATGGAAGTATAAAGCAATAGTTTTACTTTGGCTTTTGGTTGGAATTTATATAATTCCCAGTCCTGTAGCTCTGTCTTTAGTTTCCCAGCCTTGTGAAGAATCTGGGGTTGAATTTGAGCATGGTCCTTCCAAAGACAGTATATAGAATTAACAGCTTATGAAAGGTTCTTTTCTTCGCCTTCTTCTCTTTCCACTTCTGCTTCTGAATTATATATTTGTACTTGAACCCTTTTGTGAATTCTTTTCATGAACCCAGCTGCTTTGACAAGAACTATTTCTTTTGTTTTTCCCTTCCAATCCCATCCCATCTCCTTCCACCCCACCAAACAAATGGAGAAAACAAAACAAATTGGAGAGTGTATTAGTGTGCTGATGATTTAAATTGGCTCACAGAAGGGTCTGCTGGGTCCTGGTGCCAGGACAGTGAGGGAGGAACAGATAGTGCTGTGGTGGAGTAGAAGGATTCAGGAATAAACTTTTCCCTTTTGTTGGTGATAGTGAATTATTAAATCACTCCAACTGCCTTGTAATCACAGCTTTGGACAGAAAGCAGAACTTGCAAAGATGCTATCAGTGTTACACACCAATTTTGCCAACTTCTAAATCGCATAGCCATATATTGTATATAAAGTGTAAGGAACTCTGGGAAAAGTTTGCATTAAGTGAAGATTATGGTAGTACTTAGTCTTTGATTTTTTTGCGAAGTATGATGCTCAGGGGTGTGGTTTTTTTTTTCTAATGCCATTAGACAGATATTCCTGTGAAAGTGACAGTAGAAAGTGCTGCTACTTCTGAAACTGAAGAGACAGAAGAACTAGATGATATTATCCATCATCCTGTCTTGAAAAAATCTTTAGATAAAATTAATGTAACGAAGTATCAGCAATTACAGGTAAGAAGCCCATTTGTGCGTTAAACTTTACAAAGGTGAATGGTGTCACATGGGTATGTCTGCATGTGTGTTTTTATTTTGCTTTTCCAAAAAAAGTGGTTAATAACTGGTCATAGAAAAGGATTTCTTTTTAAATATTCTGCATTATGTCACATGGGCTTCCATTCAAAAAGATAATCAAATATGTACCAAATTTCCAAATTCTGAGTAGTTGAAATGAAAATATTTATGCAATGAGTATTTCATTGAAATTGGTCATATATAATGAAGAAAATCTTCACTTAAGGCATCTAACAGCAATATACGTAATTTAACTGTTCCTGTTTTGGACCATGTATCTCTTCATCAGTACTATCATCTCTAAAATATGTTTATAAACAGACTTGGAATGAAATACTAAAATTATTTCAAAGAGCTGAAATGCCTTAGTGATTGTGTAAAACTACTGAGGTAATCTAACAGTATTATAAAATAACACCCTCAGACTTGGAAACTGGGCTGTTTCTGAAGTGTTAGAATTTGAAGTTTGTTTGGAGACTAGATAAGTTGATTAGATAAGTAGTTCTTAATTAGAGCTGCAGTTCTGCAGTTACTTTTGCTTTGGAGGTAATTGTTTGGCAGCGCTGATTGAATTGATTGTATTGCTGTAAATATTAGGATCATTCTGCTGTTTTTATATAAGGCAGGGTGGATTTAAAACTTGACATTGTTGCAGATTTATACATAATTTGGAGAGTGTAGGATGGCTAAGAGTTGCCATGGAAGACAGGATGACTGTATGAATCCAAACAGTAAATAGCCATGCGCCTGTTTGCTGTCAGTGTTTTCTTTAGTCCTACCATTTTCCTCTCTAGACATCTTGTTCAGGCTGGTTTTCAAGGTTTTTTGTGTGCCTTGGATTTCAAGTTCTGGTGTAGCGTTGTTCTCTGTAGGTGGTTTAATGTTACTGCTTATGTGCAGCAAGTTGGCCTTGTGCTGTGTAGTGGCTTCGGCCCTTTTGTCAAGAACAGCATTATATTGGGAATCAGTAATCTCTATTGCATTCATATTAAGTCCAAAAGTCTATGCAAGAAGTACTCTGCTTTCAGGAAACATTTGTTATTTTTATTCTTGATATTTCGAGTAGGGGAAATATGACCTTTGTGGTATGCTGCTGAGGCAGATAGAAACTGTTTTGTGTTTTGAAGAGGTTGTCATATCAACCTTTGTCAATGGAGTTGTAGTGTTGAGTCTAGTTAGCATTTTATTTCAGCTTAGTGAAATAAATCTGTTGCTTTCTGTCTGTTTTTGGATTATCTGCACTTACATAAGAGTGATTGAAAGAAATGGTTGAATTTGGGCCCCTGAAGAAGAATATTACAAGTTTTAGGAGAATACTCCAAAATTGCTTCCAAATCTTCTGTCATTGTAAAGGATCAAATTTAGTGATGTAATTACATTAAGTACCTAATACTGGAGAGTTTTACTGTAATATTGCTTTGTGAATTTGAAAAACAAAGTATTGTTTTAGGCTGTGGATGTAAGTCTCCCTGGATTGGGAAGGCAAGCTTCCTAAAGGTTATGAGTACTCTTTCTGGAGTACTCTACTGAGTGCAAACCACTGAAGCCTCAGATCTTCTAGCCTCCCTTCTAGCCTACCTCTATGTAGGTGTAGCTCCTCATAATGTATTTTAACTTTTTTTTTTTTCCTCTGCATGAGGATTGCAGCATTGGGTGAACTAGTGGACTTTTCAATATCAGGTCAAGGAACAAGGTTTACATATGTATTTGATTATAAGGCTAGTTGGTTCATCTTGCCAACATGGCAAAAATATTATTTTTCCAATTTATTTTTCAGCCCTTTTAATCATTTCAATTAGCTTATGTACTTGGGTGTGTTTTGGAACTGGAAGGCAAGTAGCAGAAGTGTAAAATACATATGTTGTAGTTCAGCAGTGACAAATATGTCTGTATGGGTAGAAGGCAGTTTTATTATTTCCCAAAATATTTTCTTAGAAATAACATTTTCCTGGAACTTTAACTTCTAGGAACCCTTTTACTTATGTGTTCAGGTAATAAAGGTGCTACTGTCACCTTTTAGTTCCAGGGTTAACTTGGCTGGTGCTAGTCTAGGGATCCTAGAAGCAGGCACCGTTGGGCAATAGAAACTTGCTCATAATCAGCCATTCTGGTTGTCACTGGTGGGCTGCATCTAGACTATTGTAGAACCTGCATCTTTTGAATTGTGCAGGTGTCTGTGTCTCATATCCTACTAGAGCTGTGAGGACTTCTTTTGCATTTACTGAAGGAATATTTTTACTGTTTGCTCTTTTGTGCACTAATCTCCTCAGTTTGTTACTTGTATGAATTACAGTAGTATGCTATCCTGACTAAAATTTTGATGGTAAAGGAAGGTTTTTTAGTGCTGTTTGGATCTTTTTCCTCTGATTAGAAGTAGAGAGAGGGGAAAAAAAAGTGTATATTTAGTCTTATATATATGTGCCTAGGTTGAAGGAATATTGACAGATCAGCTTTGTAATTTTAGCCATTTTTTCCCTTTTGAAGCAGAAGACATCATTAAGGTATTAAAAAAAAAAAATCCTATCTGTTCCTCCACTTCAGATAATATAATAAAGAAGATGCGTTATGTCACCGTGGTGATACGGAAAGACTTAATCACTTATCAAATCCTGTTCACTGAACTGGATTCAACTGGAACACTGGTTACTGTTCACCGAAACCTAAAAATTTATCAGTTAAAAGGAAAAATAAAAATAGAAGTGAGAACATCTTATCTGTAAAAACTAGCATGTTTTGGTTTTTGGTCAAATAAAAACAAAGTTTCTTCTCAAGCTGTTTAACTCACTGTAAAACTTTCGGATCCTGAAACCTATTTCTTCCACCTAAAAGACTAACTGAAACAAGTGACAAGGTGTTATGGTTTAGAAATGTTATATTCCTATTACTGCATTAAAAATAAAATCCTAGGTGAAGGCTAAGTTCTAAAAATGTATATATGACTACTGTTGTATTTTACTTTTTTATGAGCTGAACATGATATTTTGACTGGGTAGTCATACTCAGTTTTAAAACAAGATTTAAAAGGGATGGGGGGGAAGAGGAGATAGTAATGTCAGACGTAAGAAAATTCGTGCTATAATATTACGTTAACACACTTGCAGTACAGTAATAGAAAAGTGGATTGCACTCTCACTCGCTATTATATTAGTTTTCTTTTTTCATATTAGTAGATCCAAGTCATGTATTTTTGTGAAGATATGTTATTGCTTGAATTTCCATGGGTTATCTGTTAATTGCATATTGATTTCAAATGCGTATAATGTTGCACATGTGTATGATCTTGAGATTAATTTTTGTTTTATGATAGCTCGAACTGGAAGAATGCCTGCTAAAATTAAAGGAAGAAAGAAGAGCCAGAGTAAAGGCTGAGGAACGGATAATGGAGGTAATGATAGTTAAGTATTAATCATGTTTAGTTTTAAGGATGTGCAAATCAAACCACCCATTTGTTTAATTATGACTAGCAATTGATAACCTCTAAACTGGTTGTTTCCAGAGCTTCAGTTCAAGGTCACCTGGATCACCTAGCAGTCTAAGGGCAATGATGAAATCTGCATTTAGTAATGTGTGTTTGTTTTCCTGGTTTCCTGCTGTTGGTCCTATTCCAAAGCTTTGGACTCCTCTCTTAGCTACTCTTTCTCACAGTGCTGTATTTGTTCAGTGTGTTAATTATAATGCAGGACATACTGACTTTTTTTCTGGACAAAGTGATTAATTCTGCTTGCATAGCAGTTGGATTGCTGTCAGACTTCTCCCACTTCTGTTACTGTTTGAGCAGTATGGTCATATAAAAGCTGTTTACTGTGAATGTTACTATGTTAGACTTATTCCTTTTTTCTTGACTTGGTATTGCTGAACTGAAGACACTCTTTTGAATCAAGGCCAGTAAGCAAGCAGAATTACTTTTAACAGACTTCTGTTAAAGTAACTGTAAATGAGTAGATCTGGATTTTTAGATACGATTTGCAGCAGAATAAAAGTGGTGGTACCCTTTGAAACTTGAACAACGGATGGTTTCTCCTGTCGTTTCCTGCAGTACAAGGAGTACATATCTAAAAAGAGTATCCCAAATCCTTCTGCCTGGTCATCCTCTGTGAAGTGTACTAGTTGTCTCTGCTGGATTTGTGTTATCTAAAGACTTGGGTGCTTTTTAGTCTGAATGCCCCCTGCAGGAAGTCTTTCTATGTCATGTTAGACTGGTTGGCCAATTACCTTGTGTAATGGGAAAGGATGAGCTAAACATCAGTGATTTCTCAGCCTGTCACTCTGTGATGCTAGTTTAACAACTAGGATGGATTGCATGGATCTGTAATTCTTCTGGTTCTGCTATAAAAGACAAAAAAGGAAAGCCCGTGGTATGATAGTGATTTCACAGCTGTAAACTTAAATGGACATCTAAGTTAATGCTTTACTTGAGCAAACTTTGTATATTCTTTCATTACTGTGCAGCTTTCAGAAGGTGATTATGATTTGATTCAGTGTGAAGAAAAAATGAAATCCCTTTCAACTTTTGTTTTGGGATGCACAGAGTAGGAGAGAGAGATGGTTATATGCATTAGCTCTGAAATTTTGGGCTAAGCATAAGGGGAACACTGGCCTGCATAAAGGCTTTTTTTTTTTTTTTTTTTCATAGGAGCAGCAAGTACTTTGGTCTTAGTGTCATGTGTCGTATAGTGCAGTGTCATAAGTGCAGAATAGCATTGCTTGAAAGCTAACTTTTTGCTTACACTTACTCTGCAGCATTATGTTCATGCTAAAGACTGAGTGTTGAACCAAACTGAGTTTTGACTTCCTTCAGTGAATTCACTACAGTAGCACAGAACACTAGGAGTGGATAAGCAAACCAGCAGAGATCTGTGTAACAATAGTCTGAGTATTTCTGATACAGGAAACTGTAGGCAAATTGTGTTGGGTATTTCTCTTTACACTATTGCATGCAAGCCTGCAAAGGTCTCTCTCTTTAAGTGAAGATGATGGAAATATCTTTAATCTTTTTGTTTGTTTGTTTTGTAGCTGGAAGTTGAAAATGCAAGATTGAGGAACCTGAACACCTCCCTGTCTGAGGTTCTTCATGCACAGTCAGCAACCAATATGATTTTGGAAGATGAAGGTGTTCTAGGCAGCATTGAGAATTCTTTCCAGAAGTTTCATGCCTTTTTAGACCTCCTTAAAGATGCGGGGTGGGTACTTGTTTTATTATATGGATTTTGCCTTTTCTGCTGATAACCTTTTTACAAAATTATCTGCAGTATGGTATGTGCTCTATCTCCAAATTAATACCTTCCCATAACTGTAGGCTACAAATGAAGGGAAAAAAAATAGCTTATCTTCTTGCTGTTTATTTTTTTTCCTCAGTGAAAAAGCATACTCAAGCACGTTCAAACTGAATTTATATATTTGCCAGTGGGAGAGATTTCCAAGGAGACCTCTCCTTAAAAGAAAAGAAAGCCTTTATTAAAATATCTCTTTTCAGTCTTTTTATTGGATCAAGTGTGGTTCTTAGTGTTCCTTTTTTAAGAAAGGCTCACTGGAGCTGCTTTCATAAGATGTGCACCTTCTTTCCTTCCTTCCACAGCTCCTTTGGAGTAATTGAAGCATACAAAGCTAGCTGGGGTAAATCTGGCCTCTCTACTGATGTTCTAGATAACTCATATTTTGAAATCCTCTAGAGCCCTGTGTGTTTTATTTATTCACTTTTTCATGCTTCCTCATCCTCCTCTCACCAGCTGTAGTAAAATAATGTAGAATTCACCCAGAGGAAGCATCCTAATTCCATGCAAATCAATTGGTATAGTTACCCTTGCTTTCACGATGAATTCCAAGCTTTGAAGGAAGGGAAGAATAGTCTTTCACTACATCAAGAACATCTTTTTTCAGATGGGTCCTGCGTCTATTCATGACAATAGGAGTCTGCTCTGAAAGTTAGATAATTGCAATTACAAAAATTGATCGTCTCAGTAAGCTTCTGTATAATGTAATGCCAATTGGTGGCTGTGATTTTTTTTTTTTTTTTTTGTTCCTATTGGACCTTAGGCCAACAAATCCCGAGTGGCATGTTTGGCTAACTGCTAAGCTGCTAAGTGAAACAGCATGTCTGTATTTGTGAAGCATGTAATTGGATTTGGCTTCTAGAGACAATGCCAGAAATGTGGAGATGTGCACCAATCTTCTGCTTGAGTGATAGAGCTTTATTCTTTTTTTTGGCTGAAAGGGAGTCCTCTTGCCAGAACTTTGCTCTGAGATCAATACTAACTAGAATACAGTGACACTGACTGAAGACTGATGATTTTGAACCTGCAGGCTAATTTGGGCAGAAGTTGCTGAACTGCATGAGCATTTTTATTTTTATTTTTATTTTTATTTTTATTTTTATTTTTATTTGTTTTGGGCTTTATGAAAATAATAAGAAAAAGTTATAAGAAGGAAAATAAAGCTTTGGATTTTTTCTTTTTTTTCTTCTTTTATTGAATGTCTAGGTCTCTTGCATGTTCTTTGTGTCATTTTCTCCTAAACCTTTGTTTTACAGACTTGGGCAACTTGCTGCATTAGCTGGGATAGAGCAGTCAGATTTTGGTCTATTGGGCCATCCACAAATGAATTCTACTCTTACTAAACCTGTTAAGATGCAAAAGGAGAAATCATTTGAAGAAGAAAGACAAGAACATACCCAGAATAGTAAAGTAAGTTGATAGAGGGAAAGCAAGTGGCAGTGTTGATGTTATTTAACATACTCTTTGTTACCACCTTCTGACTGAAAGTTGTGATTAGCCAATGAACTATGAAATTATCATTGTTTTGCTCTGCTTATGTGTGCATGAGTGTATTTAAACAGACTGTAGTAATGAGAATCATTATGAGAATCGTTATGGTTGGAAGAAACCTTCAAGATTATCAAGTCCAGCCATAAGCCCCTCACCACACTGCCTGCTAAACCGTGTCTGTAAGTGCCTCATCTACACGTTTCTTGGACACTGCCAGGGACAGTCACTCCACCACTTCCCTGGGCAGTCTGTCCCAAGGTTTCACCACTCGCCATGTAGAAATTCCTTCTAATGTCTGACCTGAACCTCCCCTGACACAACTTGAGGCAATTTCCCCTTGTTCTATCTGTAGATATTCTGGAGAAGAGACTGACCCCTGCCTCACTACAGCCTCCTTTGAGGTAGTTGTACAGAGCAATAAGGTCTCCCCTGAGCCTCCTCTTTTCCACACCAAATATATCCCCAGCTCCCTCGGCTGCTTCTAAGGCCTGTGCTCCAGCCCCTTCAGCAGCCTTGTTGCCCTTCTCTGGATACACTCAGTATTAATGCAGATCTCTTAATTGATCGCTCTTTGAAGCAGAAGCACATACTATTTTGGAATGTGCTTTAAAAGTGGTGGTAATGCAGTTTATTACTCTGAAACTTGAAATTCCCATACAGGTATGCATCAGCTGAATAATAATTATATTTTTTTAGGCACTTAAAAGATGTATAGTGCGTTTCAATATCTTCAAAAATTTGATAGCAGAGGGTAGTATTAATGCCTTTTCAAATGCTGGATTTTTTTTTCTGTAATGTCAATGTCATATTTGGTCTTACCATTCAGATTTCTAGGCAGGATACACCTTGAATTTCAGGCAGCAGCGATTTGTAATGCTAGCAACATAACATGTTACCTTCTACTGTGAAGGTAATGAGCAGAAACACTGTTGGATTTTTCCAAGACAGGTGTTAAAGTTCCCTTTCTTAATAGCGTGAGGGATAGCAGACTTATGTTCTCAAGGTGATGAAAAATTAAGATATTGGCAGCCAATTGTCCAAATAGGATAAAATCAAGCTAAGAATCACTCTGCATTCCAAAATGTTTCTAATATTGATTTTTCCCCTACTAAGTGTTCCAATTTCTTCAAGAACACAGTGAGCTTCTAAAGCACGATGGTGAAAAGTAGTTTGTTTTTGATGGTGTAGAAAGCAAGCTGCAGTGCTGTAATTTGACATATTGCCAGTTTTGAATAATTCAGAAGGCTAAATGTAGTTGTGCTTTGGCTGCTTTGATGTAACTGATTTTTCTCTGTGTGTCTACTATGTGCTATTAGCATCCTGACAGCCTTCTGAAATTTGCTGACTTGGGTAACAAAGTTTGATCTCTGCTATGTTTGAATCCTGCATAGTTTCTTTTAGTTTACAGGATTAGCATGTAACAGCTGGAATATTGTGGGTGTTTGTGTGTGTGTGTGTATGTGTGTTTTTTTTATTGTTGTGTGACTGTTTTTCCTGGTTGCGTGAATGCCTTAACTAGATTTTTTTTTTTCTCTCTCTCTCTAGAATGGAGGTAGAGACATTCAGGTTTCTCCTTCTGGAACTGTTCTTCAGTCCCAGATAGTGAATAATGCCTTCTCAGCATCCAGAGAAATACAAGACTTTCAGCTTGTTATGCAACCACAGCCAGACTTATGGAAAGAAAATGAATCGCAAACAACTAGCCAAAATAAGGAGGATAACACCCAAAATAGCAGCCCAACCTTCTCTGAGAGGCGAGTCAAACAAAATGAACATACAAAAGGACATCACTCAGCTAGGCAATCATCTGCTAGTCTGCATTCATTTTCTGCTTCCAGTGTGAATATGAAAAGTAATGGTAGCAAAAAATCCAGTTGTAAATCTGGTGAAAAAAGTAGAAGTTCTTCTTCAAAGAAATACATCCCTAGGGCAAATGAAACTGCAATGGGAAGCACAGTAGCAAGGGGAGACCAAGGTAGACTGCAGGCAGTAGACCTCTCTAGAACTGATACGGTAGGATCTGGCTCTGAAATACAAGAGAGTATTCATTCTGTGAGCAGCACTTGAAGTGGTTCTGAAATGTTTAGACTGTTCTTTATGCTCGCAAGATTAAAAATAAATGTTGGATGCCTTAGCATAGTTTTTTGTGAAGAAATGTAGACTTGGAAGAAATCTAAAAAATTCTTCCATTCTAGTTTGTGTTTGTATCCTGTTCCTATCATTTGTCACTGGATTTTTTTTTTTTGAAACAGAGAGGAGTGAGGTACTAGTAGTACCCTTCTGTTTGTACTCTATGCAAAGGATCGCTGTAGTATGAATTTTACTGTGTATCACAGATTTCACTATAAAGTTTTTTGCTAATAAAATTAATTTGAATACAAAGTATGGTTTGTATTTCCACTGTGTTGCAGTAGAAGTGAAACGGTGGTTTTAAGGCTCCGTTGGTTTTGCCCAGGCAGCTGGCTTGCGCTTTCTGAACTATGATATAAAGAAGCATAGATCTTGATCTGGATTTGTCAAATGTGTCGCAGGAAAGCCAGTTGGTTTGCACCAGGAATAATAAAAAAGGTGAACTTAAATCTGAACTTGGGACGGGGGGAGAGGAAGGAAAGCAGCATCTTCCTTTGTATTTTGTTTTTCTTACACTTGCTAACTGTCATGAGGCATTTATGGGAATGTGTCCAGAATAATTATAGCACCCATATAATTAGTGATTAAAGTTAGTGAATGAGACTAACAAATAATGGGAGTTCTGTTGTAAATTGAAGTTGCCAGTCTTGAGTTTGGGGAGTAGAATGAAACATTCTTTTCTTGAAAATAATTATAAATGCATAAAATCCTGTTCACAGGTAGTGATAAAAAGGTACTTGTTTTTCAATTGGTTCTGACTTAAATGCTTTTCTTAGTAAAACAATTTTCACAGTATCAGCTGAGATTTTTGAATGGTTATAACTTTAATTTGCGATGTGGAATGTTTTTCCACATCATTGACAAAGTGTATTTCATTTGGAGAGTTAAGACATAGGGCAGGGAGTAATGGATAATAGATTTGACGTAGTGGAATTAGGCAAGGTGATTTCAGTTGAACTATCAAAAAAAAAATTACTGTGTAACTTGACTTTTTATTTCGTCACCACTAGTTAGAGTTCTGGAACACAAAAGATCTGTAGAAATTCCTGCCTCCAGTTACTTGATATCCATGGAGAGGTTTGTGAATCCTGAAATGGAAGCTTTCTACTGAGCAAATAGCATGATATAACCTTGGCTACTGCATTATTGCAAAAGTAATTGCACAATGAAAGTATGTTATTTATATAGACTTTGTCACTTCAGAAAAAAATAGCAGATATTTTATTAATTCCTTTGCCTTTTAGATGTTCTCCCAACCATTTGGTATAGGTTCTAGACTGAGGTCTCAGTCTTGTTACTTTGACATCATATAATTGTCATGATTCTTCATTTCTACGAATCAATTATGGAAGATAGTTGATTCAGCCACAAAATGTAATATATACATACTTTAAAGCTAACACCCCGTGAGGTGATGGGTGAAGTTAGTTTCAAGTGCTCGCATCTGAGGAGTTAACAATTGCCAATGTTATTGTTCCCTAAAAATGCTTAAAACAATTTTTAAAAGTTCATGTATTTTATGTCTATAAAGAGGTACATAAATGCCTTCTAGCTTAAATATACTGTTTGCTTTTAAAACTTAACATGTGTCAAAGATCATCTCAAAGCAAGGCCAAACATTGTATCATATAGATGAACACATTTTTTTTCAATGTGTTTAAGTAAGAAAAACAGAACAAAAAATCATCAAAGGTATCTTGTAACCTCATCTCATCAGAGGTAAGGCTATGTAGCTCTCTTCTGTGAGAATTGCTACATGCCTGTAGCACAGGCATGTACAGTTGAATGCTGGAACTTTTGGTCTGCAGAGATAACTTGCAAGACATCTGGGAGGTAAGTAATTCAAGGCTAACATGAATATTGCAGAAGTTGCAAAGTTTTTATTAACATATATTTTAGAAAACTGCTTTTCATTAAATAGAAACAAAACTTCATAAATTTGACAAATAATATGTCAAAGTATACATTTTTGCATATATATACATGTTAAGTGGCTATGAATTCAGTTTGCGAGTTGGGAGTATTGAGAGAATGTTTCCATCTCTTGCTAGTAGTTAATATTTGACATATTTGTCTGTGTTCTTGTTTGACGTAAAAGCCTGAAATCAATAGATCAGCTATTGCCTAGAGACCACTTTACTATTTTCTTAGAGAACCTCAGCATTTTCACCTCCTCATATGGGCTTCTCAGAAATTATTTTGCATTGTTCCTATTTGCAATGTTTGGAGCCCAGTCTCTAGTGGAGGAAAAAGTGCCTGGATGACCTGTGTTGCCTTTTTAAGGCTTTTCAGAATTCGCCACGCCAGACCACGCAGCGGGGCTGGGGCTCGCGCGCGCTGCCAGGCTGCTGGGTAGGTGTCATTGTTTGTCCTTTCGCGGTGACGTCAGGCTGACCAGTACTGCCGAGGCAGGGCTCGTACGCGGGCTCTCTTCTTGAGAGAGCTGGCTCTTGTCCAGCAACCATCCATGGAAGCCTTTCTGCACAGCTCTTCTCATGTCACCATGAGCCCAATAAAAGTTTGTGGAAAACTTTGGAACATAATAAAACATTACGCTTGATCTGAACTTTCTTTTTGTTTGTTTCTGACTTTTTTTATGCCATAATCAATAGAGCTCTCACTAGTTTTAAGTTTGCATTAATTATGCAAATTCAAATTTTCTGCTAGCAATTGTAGCACTGTTACGTCTTGGAAGCCAGAACCACCTCTGTTACGGTGTCAAAAGCTTTGTATTTTATATGAGGTGTTTATATGTAGTAATGAAATTTCTAAATTGTAATTATTGATAGCAAATAATGAAAAGACTTGCTGTATCTCAGTTTAATAGAAACAAACTGATTAGACCCTTTCTGCTACTTTTCATTCCTCTCTCCAAATGCAGAAACAGAATCATCCCTTTCATAGGTATATTTTTACGTTGAAGTAACTTTCTGGCACAAACATCTTTGTCAATTTTCTTTACCTCTCACCAGTGCACCATGTGACATCAGTTTTCTGGAGCGCTGGTGGCAAGTCCCGCAGCCTCTGATCTCATGGGAGCTGCTATTTTTTATCCATTAGCTGGGGATGTGACTCTACAATGCCTGGTCTTTGCTTCTTGAGTTATGGACTGCTACCTGCTTCAGCTTGTGTACTTTGTGTTCTTGCATTTTGGTTCTTTGTGCTGAAAACAGAATCCCAAACTTGCAGGGTTGGTTGTAATTGTGTGCCAGGCTCTTTGGCTTCAAGACTGATCCTGCTTCATGTTAAAGTGCTTCCTGTGTTACGGGGTAAGTTACTGACCCAAACCTGCCACCTAAACCACTAGACCTTTCTCATGGAGGCCACAATTTCCCCAGCATCTCCTAGTTCAAGGCTGACTCTCCAGACTCTGAAGAGAAAAGTCCCCAGAGAGAGCCCATTTCCCCCTGGCCTCTTTCAACCTCACCCCGTAGCGAGGTGATCATTGCTGCAGTGTCCCTGTCATGGCGTGGTGGAGCATTGCATTTAGGTGGTTCATTTAGTCAAGACTGATTTTAATACTTCACTGTAGCTGTTCTGGTGGCTAGGTGCTCTAAAAGGGACCTGATGTTTTGAAGGAACAAATGCTGATTTTGTCATGTCCTGAAGGTTGTTGTAGATCTTCAAGAACAAAGGAGGGTTCTTGTGGCTGGAGGTGAAAGTTTAAGCCATATCTATAACTGAAAAAGCAGGCTCTGTTTTTAAAAACACTTCATTAAAATTTTGTTTTGTTTTTGAATAATTTGGTTTCTGTGAGTTGCAAATGTATTAGCACAGTTGATTTCTCCCTCTATCCTGCAAAGCGTCTTAAAACCCAGATTTTCAGAGCACAATTGGCTTCTTTGGCATGTCCAGCTCTCAAGGGCCTTGGCAGGACATGACTGTGAGGGACAAGTATTTCCTTAGCTAAGAAATATGTAATGAGAAATTATGTCTCTCATAAATGTTGGTATTCAGAAAATAGGGGATATTCATGTGTTCATATTTAAAAAAAATAGAGTTTTGTATGTTTTGTGTCTGTGCCTCAGAGTGGTGGGGTGCATCAGGCTTATGGGCCGGCTGCCTGTGACAGCCACGACCTTCGTCCAAGGCCGGGGGACGCGACGGGGCTCCCCGC